TTGCCATGTGAAAAGAAGACAGAGAGAAGACAGAGAACTTCGTAATTACTCTAGGCTTGGCATTAATCAATTGACACATGCTAGACTATTAGATATCAGATATTTTGCCCCCAACACAAACGTCATTTGTTTGCTAGGTTAGTTTGCTGTTATAAGCAGAAGCAACATGCAAACTAGCATTAAGGAGTGATGGATTGATCTGTGCGTGTTTCCTAAATATCTTCAGTTTCCAACGGCATGTCATTTTATTATGACAACATTACATACTGTAAATGTTAAATGTGCACAGAAAATGTCAGTAGTGTAATTTAGTAAAGTACTCCAATTCGTTCACCTTGTGCTGACAAAATGACACAGATGCCAAGCTAATGGAAGCTTGTTTCCACCACAGGATTTAAAAAGTAAAATAAAAAGGTAATAGTGACTTTATCTCACACTTCTTACTTTTTTCTCACAATTATGAGTTTATATCTCACCATAATTCAGATTTTTTCTTGAATTCTGAAAAAAGAGATATCTGAGAGATTAATCTGAATTGTTGCACATTTTATTTTATTCTGGAGGTTCTCTATAAAACCTCCTTGTGTGAGTCCACTAAACTTTTTTTTTTATAAATGTTTTATTATTATTAATTCCTTTGACATATAAATCTTGAATAGACTTCAACTATACTTCATTTTCATCTCTTTTAATGTTTTGTTTCTGGCAGCTCGGGCATGTCAGTGGAAGTTTGACATCATCGCCTGCATGTGCAGACCCCAAGGACTCCCGGACCCCTCCATCCTCTACAGAACCAGGCTTTGAGGGCCCTTTATTCTCTGACCTGTCCCTTTGAATTCTGCTCCATGACCACAATCTTTTCAAGGGTCTCTTAAAGACCCGCCTGTGATTGGGGAAAACGCAATCCAAACTGAAATGCGTTTCCCGCAAGCATGCCGACTCCATGGCTGCCTCGCAAGTGTGGCGTCCCTTCAGCCGTGCCAGGCAGTGAGCCTAATACAGTAAAAATGTGATCTTGCATTTCCAGGGATAATAAATAAATTAGTTCACAGTCCAGTGTGTCCAAGTGGTTTTTGTGGAACTCAGTTGCCAGCGAAAGTACTTATTTTGGGTCTATCTCAAGTCAAATGTGCACTAAGAAATGTACCTCTGTATTTCATCACATTTCAGCAACTACATGATTTTATAACAAACTTCCCTTTAGGTACACTGTCGGTAGAAATGCATTTTGTGATTCAATCCTTTTACTCCAAACATAAATTGTAAAATTGACAGGCCCTGTATAGGCAGTCAAAGGCCTCATTAGACAAGACAACATCTTTTAGATGTTGGTTTTCACTTTTTATAAACAATATACTATAAGACCTATTTAAGACCAAGTAAAGAAAATTTAAGGGATAAATTGAAGGCAACAGAATAAGTCAATAAGTTATCAAAATGTAAATTTCTAGAGAGCACACAATGAGTTGTATCATCACTTTTTAATTCAAACATTGAATTTCAATAATTGATTTTTAATAAAAAAAATAAAAAAGGCTTAAGGCTCGAAAAGCTCTGCTCAACATTAGAATGTTGAAATAACTTTTATCTTCTGATCACACTGCAAAGAGTGAAGTTCTTCCTCAGTATTTTTGTCTTGTTTTCCAGTGCAAATGTGTAAAGATTCTTAAATCAAGATACATTTACTTGAGAAATGAAATGATGTGAGATAGGAAGTCTTGTTTTCTGTGAAACTGATCAATATAAATTAAGTTTATGATTAAAACAAGAACAAATATCTGCCAACAGGCTCACAAAAAACTTAAAACTTAATTCAAAGAGAAAATATGTTTTCATACCTCACTGATAGATATTTGGTCTTGTTTTAAACATAAACTCACTTAATTTTGTAAATTTTCTCAGAAAAACAAAACTACATATCTTCATTTTGAAACTGAAACAAATGTATCTTGATTTAAGGAATTTTTGAAGGAATTTTTAGCAATGCATGCAACATTTAATGCCATGACTTTATGAATTTAAGACTTTTTGCTTCGACTTTTCAAGGCCTTAATTTGTGGAAGGATTAATTACAATTTAGCGCAAGACCATGTATTCAAACAAGCATTGGATTTGCCCAATCATGTCGCAGATAATCAAAAATAATCATTAAGCAGAACATCTGTGGAAGCAAGAAAATCTGACCTTTGCACAAGGGAGTTCACATGGTTACGAATTTGCTTATTAGATTAGTGACCCAGAAATAGTGGCTTTTCTAATTCATTTTATGACACAATGCTCCTTTGTTTTAAATTTGTCAAGGGCATAAAACAAAAATGTTTATTTCCATGTTTTAAGTTCAATTCTGAATCCTAGATTTTCAACTTGGACCCCAAAATCTGTCCAATCCAGAAACTTCAATAGTTTTCAGATGTATAAACATTTTATCTATATTTGAAAATGTTCACAATGCTTTGAAATACACAAAACACATTGGAACTTTTGTGACATTTTGCCCAATCATGTCGCAGATAATCAAAAATAATCATTAAGCAGAACATCTGTGGAAGCAAGAAAATCTGACCTTTGCACAAGGGAGTTCACATGGTTACGAATTTGCTTATTAGATTAGTGACCCAGAAATAGTGGCTTTTCTAATTCATTTTATGACACAATGCTCCTTTGTTTTAAATTTGTCAAGGGCATAAAACAAAAATGTTTATTTCCATGTTTTAAGTTAAATTCTGAATCCTAGATTTTCAACTTGGACCCCAAAATCTGTCCAATCCAGAAACTTCAATAGTTTTCAGCTGTATAAACATTTTATCTATATTTGAAAATGTTCACAATGCTTTGAAATACACAAAACACATTGTAACTTTTGTGACATTTTACTCTTGAAAAAATATATATTACATCAGTTTGTAAGGAATTGCAATGCATGTGGCATTTGAAGTTCTCTATAAGCTGATGCTTATATATAAAAGAAAAAGCAAATCTATCTATCTATATATTTGCTTTTTCCAACACTGACAATACAAAAGCAAACCAAAATGCACATTCGGTAAAATATAAAGTATAAAACCTGAGCTAATAGATAAAGATCTGTAAGTAAGGTTTCTCAATTTGGGCGGCTGTAATATGGCAGTATGGCTCCCTGCTGCTGGGTGGCTGTGGGTTGAATTTTGGGCCCCAGGGTGTGACAGCGAATGATAGAAGGAGACAGAGAGAAAGCCGGTTTCTATTCACATCCAGCGGCAACATTAGCATATCTCAAACAGCACGGCCCAAAAGCCCTGACCACCTGTAGATTAAACTTTTTTCTGCCTTCTGATTATTTCCCAATAAAGTGGAATGTGAAAGGCCTGGGCAGAAGATGTGTGTGGAAAATGTGTGTGTGTTCTCAGAGCTAAAGAGAAAGTGAACGAGCCCAGCGCACTCCACGCACGCATTGTGCTGCAGGACAGCGCGTGGTCTGCCTGTAGAAGTGTCTGCGAGGGTGCCGCCCACTGCACAGCAGCACAAAACACATTGGAACTTTTGTGACATTTTACTCTTGAAAAAATATATATTACATCAGTTTGTAAGGAATTGCAATGCATGTGGCATTTGAAGTTCTCTATAAGCTGATGCTTTTATTGACATAGCAGTTATGAACTAATTCTTACCTCACAGTCATTCTGCCAGGATTGTGTGCCCATCACAACCAAATGACATGAACTCACAGCAGAGAACTTCCATCTAAAACACAGATGGATATTATCTCCATGGACATTATTGTTCCCAACCTATTGTTTCAACCAACAAAATTGGCCCTGTTTGTACACATATTTCTATTGTGCACTCGTGGTGTTAACAGTTACATTTTCTTTTAAAATAACATTTACTATGAAGGAATAAACATCCCGTGCCCTCATTTGACCAGAGCGTTCTCTCCATTCTTCAGGGTTTCCTTGCCCGGCTTATCAAGAATTTACTGAGCATATCTGGGCAGCGGGCCACCTTTCCAGCACCCTAAAACCAACCCTTTTAATAGTCACTTCAAATCTTTTCTTTAAGCGTTTGGCTGAAAGTGCACTTCCAGCGGTGCTTGAACTTAATCTCTAAATGCCGAGCCAATCACAAAGCTGGAGAAAGTTGAAGTGTAGAGTTGAATAGGCAATTAACACAGCACTGCATGCTGATGAAGCCTTCTGAAGGAGTTTGTCTTTTATCGAACTACAATGAAAAGCATGTCCATCTAATGAGAACCTGCTCACACAGCAGTTTCCACTACCTACATCTGAGAGTAAGGAGCTATAGTCAAGGATTATTTATTATTATATTGGAAATAAATCAAAGCCATAAAACTTTTATAAAGCAAATCTATCTATCTATATATTTGCTTTTTCCAACACTGACAATACAAAAGCAAACCAAAATGCACATTCGGTAAAATATAAAGTATAAAACCTGAGCTAATAGATAAAGATCTGTAAGTAAGGTTTCTCAATTTGGGCGGCTGTAATATGGCAGTATGGCTCCCTGCTGCTGGGTGGCTGTGGGTTGAATTTTGGGCCCCAGGGTGTGACAGCGAATGATAGAAGGAGACAGAGAGAAAGCCGGTTTCTATTCACATCCAGCGGCAACATTAGCATATCTCAAACAGCACGGCCCAAAAGCCCTGACCACCTGTAGATTAAACTTTTTTCTGCCTTCTGATTATTTCCCAATAAAGTGGAATGTGAAAGGCCTGGGCAGAAGATGTGTGTGGAAAATGTGTGTGTGTTCTCAGAGCTAAAGAGAAAGTGAACGAGCCCAGCGCACTCCACGCACGCATTGTGCTGCAGGACAGCGCGTGGTCTGCCTGTAGAAGTGTCTGCGAGGGTGCCGCCCACTGCACAGCAGTCGGCTGTGGCTGGGATGGGGGCGGGGCTTACAGTGGACAGGGGAAACCAGTGGGAGGGGTGTGGGCGAGATTTACTCAGGGGTTGTCAGCTCATAGGGCCCTGAGTCCACTGGCTTTTATACACTAGGTGCACTTGAGTAAAACTAGAGAAGAGCTGAGCTCTGAGATCTGCCACTACTGCCTGCTACCAGGAGTTTGCATTAAACTGCAGGACAACCAGACTCAAGAACGAGGGAAAACCCAATACTTTTTGTCCTTTTTCTTTTTAAACACAACAAAAAAAAAGGATTCAAATTCATCTTTTTGAACCACTTCCCCCAATTCCTCTTCTGAATTACACCAGGACTTTAAAAGCATGGCAGAGCAGAAGAGGCAGGTGTCTCTGACCCAGGCTGTGACCCTAGCGCTGGTTCTGCCCAAAAAAAAAGAATGAAAATAAACGCAAGTTGATTATAAACGCTACTGCATGATATGCTAATTCATTCATTAAAAAAATTCCTTGTATATGAAATAAATAGACAGACAGGCAGACATAGATTATTTTTGATGTGTTATTGTGTCTCTGTGTATCAAATGCCACAAAATATTATTCCTATCAAAGCATAAAACGCACAAAGTCAACTTTTTGGGGATCTCTTGGTATCAATTTTATGTACTGATTCTCTGAAAATTTCTCTTGGACACAAAATATCAGAATATTTTCTCTAATAACATTCTTCATCATTACTATAATCTTATTTATATCCGCTGCGGTGATTATTGATTTCTAAAGAGCGTAAAATTGTGCCTCTTTCAGTCTTTGACACAATCTGGGCAACACTCAACAGGACTGAACGAGTTTCCAATTCTAGAGAGAGAGAGAGAGAGTGGTTATAGTTCAGTCCCACAGAGATCAGTCCTGGCTGAAAAATGTTATGAACTTTGTAAAGAACCAACTATGGAGGCCTATCAGACAAAATTTCAACAGACTTTCTACAAAAATAAGTATTTCTGTATTTTTTGCAGCATTTGCTGTCACATATAAAACACTGACATCCTCTGCCAGCTTGTAAAACTCCAAGAAGTAAACATTCAAAGAGCCTGTTAACTGCATTCTGTTAGCTTTCTAGATTTACTGTAACCACCGTTTGCTGTGTCATTTGTATGCCGCCCATCTGATGCACTATTCTTGGCCTGTATCCTTCTTCTCTCCACTGCACTAATGTCTAAAGATAACTTATCAAAACCAGGCTTTTTCTATGCTAGTTTTGGAATTTTATTTATTTATTTTTTTTTTTAAACAAGAGTTCATCATTCACTATATCATTCCATATTTGGAAAAAAATCAAACAAATATTTGAAATACATTGCGGACAATATATATATGATAAATATATGTTGTAATTGAAAATATGTTTACTTTATAATGTGAATTTTCATTATTTAATTTAAAAATTAATTTATTTTCCAATTAGCCAGGCAGCCAAACCCTTTGGATCACTAATTAGTCAGAAATGTTGTACATTACTTTGTCTCACTGAGATGAGAAGGACTATTGTAATAGACAGAGGAAGGAAAAGAGAGGAGAAATGGGAGTGTAGCTAGTGTTCAGGGGAAGTTTGTGGATGGTGTTGAACCACACAAACAGGACAATACACTATATAAAATACATAAAAAATTAAACAAAAAAATAATAATAACAAAACATAAAGAAGCTTAAAATAAATCTTTAAAAAAGTGCTTATTTTCTGAACCATTTGTAAAGTATAATGCAAAAAAAAAAGAAGAAAAAAAAGAAACAAGTTATGCAAAAACTTAAGTTTACTTTAAAAAAAGTACAGTAAATAAATGAAATACTGCTTAAAAAATAAAGCAATTTTTATTTTTATTTTTTATTATTATTAAAAAAATGCAAAATAATTAGAGATAAAATGAATGGTTTGAGTTAGTCTGTGTAGTCATATAGCTTTATATAAAAACAATATGTCTATGATATGTCTCCAAGTAAACGTATCTGTAAACATGCACACAGCTTCTCTTTTCACTACTAAGATTTGATGGATTACAATGTTCTCAAAGATGGGAAAAAAAGCGTCTTTTGACAAAAACGTGACTCCACGGCACTGTTTTCATACTTCCAAGTTAAGTAGCTTGGCTTCTGTTGGAAAAATAAGCTCCTTAAAATTGCAGCAAACTCAAGAGCAAGTACAGAAAGAGTGGGACCTTTGAGACAATATCAATTACAAACCATAGCCATTCTGAAATGACATGATACTGAAAGCTAGAAAACTAGCAGAACTAAGTTAAATGTGCTTTCCACATCACAGCTGGATGGGAAAGTAGCTCGCGGCCAAGCATTTCCAGTGATGTGTGTTTTGGTGAGAGTGCACATCGACGTGAAACAGGACTCTAGATATAACATGACAGTACAATCCCTTGCTTGACACGGCCAGTCGCTCCAGCCTGCAGCCGTCAGCTCCAGCAGACTGGGGACATGAAGAGCTGTTTTTTCCCCTGTGGTTTGAGGTGAAGTCCTGGGACGCAGCCCGTTCACAACCAGAGCCACAGACATGCATCACGGGCTGTTTCTGGAGACTGACAGTAAATGATACATTCCAGTAAATCACATTGGACAGTGCAGCAAGCCTCTTTAAACAATATAGTTCATTCTACAAATAGAAGACTTTTTCTTAACAGACAAATAGCAAAACAAAAACAACCCCAATGGCTCCTCGGAAAATATGGAAATATTTGAATATTAACCATAAAAAGTGGCATGTTTCATGCTTAAACTCTGTGATTATAATATTTGAATGAGTTTAAACCAGAAGCATGTCAGTTTTTATGGAAAATGTTCACATTTTTTTTGTCTATTGCAGTTTAATATGCAGAGACAACTACTAGTAGTTACAATGGTTCAACCAATGGTGTGAGTTTGGGCAGGGCTATTTATTCCAGTAACAGATGAGGGGAGTGTCTGTTGAAACCTGTTTGAAAATTATTATTTTTGCAGCTTTTCTTGCACATACACTGGTGGGTTATAAATGATACATTTTACAGAGAGGATTACATTTTATTATAAGAACAGGACTGAAACATTTGATTTGGCCGGACATAATAAGTTCAGGATAAAACAAACTTAGCGGTTCAGATTAGAGTGAATGTGTATTCCATTGTTTGCAGGATTCTGGTAAATGCAGAGGCGCTTGCTGCCTGAGGGGTGATTCAGAGAGACTCCGCTCACTGCACATTTAAACAGACATAAATCACAGCAGTTTTTCATCCTGATTAATGTTTTGATTATGTAATGTAATTATTAATGTCCAAAGTGTTGCTGCTCATAACTTCAAGGTTGCAAATGAGCCATAAATTTATGACCTGTGCACAGTTTAAATAGAACATTTCCCTCATAAACTGTGATACAGAAAGTCAGCGATGCAGAAATCATTCAGACACAGAAACACATGTATAGGAAGTCTCTCTGAGGACACTGTGAGGACTTGCAATGCACTCGTATATCCACAATGACAAACTGTGAGAAGTAGTTAGTGATGGATTTTATCGCTTAAGGTTTTAGTCTTTAGTCTGAAAGTTCTTTTCAGTAATAAGGAAGACCAGGGCTAGTTGTCAGTATTTACTCCTGTAAAAATGTACATTTAAAATTTATATTAAAGCAACATACTTTAAAGTAATGTTTAAAAAAAAAAAAAAAAAAACTATGACTAACATGTTCAACATTATTGCCCAGGAATTACACAGCATTCAGCTGATATTTTCTGATAACATAGTGGGGCATGTTGTCACAATATGTGAAGAACATATTCACAGATACCAGCGATTAAATCACCCATTATAGGATTTTTCTGGCCAAATTTAACCAGTAAAACTATTTTGTAACAGAAAAAATGTAAAAGGTAGTGTAAATATCAAACCATTCTTTTGACCAATAATTTCTGAAAATTACCCTTCTTGTGAAAACAGTTCAGCCTTTGAATTAAAATATATTTTCATAAAATTGCTGACTCTTGCTTGAATGTGTTGTTTAAATGTAGTCACCAATCACTAAAGCAAAAAATTAAATAAATGACAACTGAAAAAAAAAAAATAAATAAAAATAAAAAATGAAAACTGAAATTAAATACATACATATATATGAGATCAGTTGTTTCCCTAAGGACTTAACTGAGTTTAGTCAGGTTTATTGCCCCAAAATAATATTTCATATGACTGAATCAAACAAATCAGTACGGTAGGTTATATAACTTTTAGGTTAAACTTTTGTTGGTTTGTAAACTTGAGTTATATGTTACCACATGAACTACATTTTTAGGTTACCTGACAACAGGTTTTACTTTGCAGAGACCGGTTTAGGACTGAGCTGTTAAGCATGTCACTAAAGCACTCTTGCTGATTAAAAAGTTTTCTTTCAGAAGCAGTTCTGTTGATTCCTTACACACATTTCAATGAACATGAGAAGGAATTCAACAGGAAATTTAGGGAATAGATAAAAAATAAAAAGCCAGTATTGCTCTGATATCACTCAGTCTCTGAATTGGCACTTCTTGCAGAAACTCGGTTTGCAGAATTACCCTTTCTCAGTCTCCTGACACATGATTTGGCTCCGTTTCCACCAGGCATCCTGCCAGTGAGCCACCCCTCAAAACAGAATAAATTGCTCTGCAGTGCAAATAAGACATTTCAGTTTCAAGTATGCAGTTTGCTACAGCATGTGAGTATGAAACAAAGTTTCCTCCAGAACACGCTCAGTGTACGCAACTCACTGCACACATCACGTCTCCGACTTGCTGAATATTGAATGCATGGGAATTTCTGCTCAGGGACCAATTGACGGTTGAAACTTACATAGGGGTTCAACTCCCTACGATGTGTGTACTGAAGCCTGGTGAACTTTGACCCCTCTCCTCATTATCTACCACTATGGCTGTCCTCGAGGCTGGGGTGATAAACTCTGACCCTTGGTTTTTAACCTGGAAGGGGGAGTCTGGAGATGAGCCATGTAAGTCCTTGTTACCAGATGCTTTTGTTTTGTGAGCTTGAGGGAGGACCAGCTCTGACGTAAATGAAAAAATCATATTCACCACCTCAGAGATCAGATATAACACACATCATTGTGGGGTTGATTTCAGTGAAGAACTTCAAGCTTCAGCCAATCTGGTCACAGCTTGTTCTGTTAGAACCACCACACAGGGATCGAATACAGCTTTCTGTATTTTAGCTGAACAAATTAATGACTTTTCCAAATCTTCACAAGCCACACCCTGCATTCGTCCTAATTACTCAGTTAAGCGGATCAATGATGTGATAGAAGGCCGGAAGCTTTCACAACTGGAAAATACACCCGGTACTTCACTTGCAAAAATGACAAAAATAATTAAATCCCATAGAAAACAAAAACCAATATCAAAAGAATCATTACCAGTTGTAAAAGAAGAGATGGAGGTAAATATTTGATCAAAAATACCGTAATATTGTGAAGTATTAAATATGATTACAATCTAAATTAAAAAACTCCAAAAACTCCAAACTCCAGTCTTCAGTGTCACATGATCCTTCTGAAATCCTAATAATATGCTGATTTGCTGCTTTACTTTTTTGTGGAAACCACCTTTTTTAAATGAACAGAAAGTTAAAAAGTTCAACAATTTAATACATTCTGCATGAATAAAAGCATTTGTTTCTTTAAAGAAAAAAAAAAAATCTCACTGACCCTCAAATTTCCCTGGTTTTCCAGTAAAAATAATCATCCATTAAAAGCTTAAAACATCCATGCAAAGCAAAATGACGAAGATAAAAGTTATTAGGTTATTATCAATTTTAATTTTATTAATATAAGAAAAGTGTTGGCCATTATGTGATTGTTATACCAATTTAGTGTGGGTTGTGCCTAAATCAAGAAAAACTATTTGCAAATGGGGTATAAGAAAATTCCCAAATTTGCTTCTCACATAAATTAATTGTGTCTTATATATATTATCACTGGAAAACAATGCAAAATACTCATTAACGATTTTTTTTGTACTGATAAATGTGAAATTCGCCCATATCTAAGTATGTGTGTGTGTTATACAGTAATATTAAAGTTCACTGAACAGAAAGTTAATACCCCAGTAGGCGGCACAATAAACATCTGTAGCTTCACTCGCTGTGTGTGACGGCTCTACGGTTAAAAATAAGATCAGCAAATAACTATCAGCTCCAAGAAGGTCACGTACCGCTGTTTGCATGTTCCAGTGAACATTTTCACTGTCAAACTGCTGAGAAGTATGTTTTCACAGTGACCTATTAAAAGTTTACCCCTGAATTTGTCTTCGTACGTCTGCAACGAGTGTGAAATATTCTGGTTTCTATAATATCCTGAGATGTAGAGGCCAAAAATATTTTCTCAGGTCCAGTGATGTGCAGTCGAACTGGACATACACTAAAGACACTCCAGATCTGTAGGGATATAATTTCACAGTGATGAACCACTGAAAGTCTTAATCTTGTTTTATAACTCCCTTTCTTCTGTGAGGAAATAAAACTAGCAGCTGCCAAACCTCTCCCTCTCATGGCTTCAAACACTGTGGATTAAGCTTCATTAGCACTGGCCTGCTGCCCCCACATGAGACCAGCACTGCAATGAAACTGCACGAAACCTCATTAGAGTTTTAGAATCAACATAATCACATAATTTTAGTAAATATGTTTTGTTTGTTTGTGTGTGTCTCCTGTGGTTAACTGAAGATAGGCTTCACTGAGTACATCTTTCACTGAACTCATGTATCATTACTACTGACCTCACATAACAACTACAAGCAATTCTTATGTTGATTTCCCAAAAGTGTAAACACAGCAAAAAACTTGCTCTATCCCAACCAGTCTGAAACAGCAACACTGAATCAACCAATTGCACAAGTTTGGGGGCGGGACTATTGGTTTGTTAGACAAAAATACATGTAGTCAGGTTGAATTAATCATACAGGTAGATGATATTTGATAAATTATATATGATAGTTATTTTTGATGTTACTACCTGAAGCATGCAATATTTTTAGATTTCCCAAAAAATAAGTCTTGCAGTATACTTTAAATAGTTAAATGTTTTGGCTAAATGTTCTAGAGACTAACTTTCCCTCTCTTTACCCTGCAGTTTCAAAAGTGTGTCCACCCTGTGACAATGAGTTGAAAGCCGACACCATAATGGAGCACTACTGCGCCAGTGATTTTGGTAAGATATTAACTTTTATTGAGACATTAAATTTGACAACTTTAATAACTTGTCTCTAGAGGAATGATCTCTTCATAATGACATAAAAGTATGTTATGAAAAAAACTGATGAGAAAGTCTGCAGTTTGCTAGCATGGGAAAGTGGCCACTTTAAAGGGGTCATATGATGTTGCTAAAAATAACATTATTTTGTGTATTTGGTGTAATGAAAAAGGAAAACTTGAAATCGCATCATATGACCCCTTTAATATTTAGGGTGAACATAAAAAGGTGACCTCATGAGAAAAAACGGATACAATATGAGGTTGTTATGTTAATTGCAGTAACATTACTGTGCAATAATGAAAAGTTATATATTTTTAATAATAATAATAAAATTAGCTATTGTGAATATATATATATATATATATATATTTTTTTTTTCCACAATAGTATATTT